TCGTGATACAGGCTTTGCTAGGGTTAACCACATGTACTGGGTGTATGTGGGGGAGAAGGTAAATTGCATCTGATTTTTTATTTTAATTTGTTCAAGCATGAATTTTTGTGACCTAAAAAGATTTAAATTTATTACACAGGAGACCGACACTCAGGCATTTTTCCGTTCGGAAGGATTCCCTTGGTATGGTGAGTGTTACGAGGTTTTTACCGAGCGCAACGCAGCGACGATAGACTTGGATGTCATCGATCTCAACCCTTATAATCCACTGGACATGTAATGAAAAGTTGTTTGGCTTATTTTTTTGGACTGACTGCAGTAATAATAAATATTTTTTTCTTCTGTCAAGTACGTGTTTGTTTAATCATGATTCATATGTCAAAACAAAACAATATGTTGCATGGACAATTAAACTATTAATGTCCGTGAACAGAGTTTTCCCAGCAAAATCAGCGACAATATTCGAAGGGAAAATATTATTGAAAGGAAATTCGCAGAACTGTGAACAAAGTGCGATGATCGTATTGTTCTCGCATAGCGTAGTGAAAAAAAATAAATAAAAGTAATTTATATTTTTTAATCGCATATCCAGGCCAGAAGAACCGCATCATCATTAAGGATATGTGGAAAACTGTCGCATAATTAGATTATCGCATATCCAAACTGCATCATTTATGAGTATGCGACTATGCGGCATATGTTCGCATAATTTACGATTCGCATATCCAAAGGCTTAGATAACTATCGCTTATGCGTTATGTTTTCGCATAGTTACGAATCGCATATCCATATAAAACTCGCATAAATGTATCAATATGCGAACACATTTCGAATAGTGTTACGCACCGCTTTTTTTTCACCTAATAGTTTTTTTTAATTTATTAATTTAGTCAAAGAACAAGAATTTTCCAAAAATTATTATTACAACTCTCCAAAAATATACGACGTTTGTATGTCGCAGAATAGAAAATTTACAAAAACAAAAATAAAAAAATATATGTTAGTCGTTATTGTAATAGTGTTATGCGGTTTTTATGCGGAATTGTTTCGAGTAATAATTGCAGGTTCATTGACCTAATAATAGTAGTTAATACAAGTCTAACGCTCGCCCGACCGAGAACCGCAGCAAACACGACTTCCTCCACCGGTCGAACGCTGAACCTGCACGAAAACTCTCACACCGGAGGTATTTTCCGGTGAAGAGCCTCCAACGCTCAAGTCAGATCTTGAGAGATAAAGGTGTATATCAAAATCTTAGAAAATTGGAAGTTGACTAAAACGATGATCCTCGTCCCTATTTATAGGGACGGGTTACCTGTTGGCCACGC